CCCCAGTGGGGTGGTGGGGGGTGGCTGGGGAGATGACATGGTCCCCATCCCCCCCCCGAGACCACCCAGCCCGGCGCCCCTCACACCGCTCGTTCCTCGGCAGGTGCCAAGCCGGTGAACAAGATGAAGATGGCCATGGTGAACACACCCCTGGCCATGAGGGTCCTGCCTCTTGCCCCCTCCGTGGGCAGCCTGGTAAGAGATGCCCACTGTCGCTGCGTGGCACTGGCTGCTGCCTGCCGCCCTCGGCGCTTGCTGCCAGCCCTGCACTCACGCTGCCCCTTTGCCTTTTCTCTCGAGGACATGGCCCCTGCTAGCAACAAAACTGAGGACCAAGTGAAGCACCTGCTGCTGGTAAGGTCCCCTGCTCCCACACCGACCCCGTAGCTGTCCCCTGCGCTGCGGGAGGCCGTGGGACCCTCCGCTTCCAGCTCACTGTCCCTTGGCTGGGTCTCTTGGGGCGCTCAGAGCTGGTGGGCGCTCCTGACCTTCTGCAATGTCCATCTGGCTGATAGAAGCAGAGCTTTACTCTGCCACCTCCTTTTTCTTTGCCCTCCCTCACTGTTGTGGTTGCGCTGCAGCAAGGAGACCCCAGGAAGATCTTCCCAGACCTGAAGGACAACATGATGGACAACCTGAAGAGCCTGAAGAAGACCATGAGTGACGCAGACTGGAAGGTCAGTGCTTTCTGCCATCCTACTCTTCCCCCTCCAGGAGCACCCCGCTTTGAGGAGGGACTGGGGTGTCCTCACCTGGAAGAACAAAGTCCTGCTTGAGCCCGGCTTGGGTTACTCCCACCCCGAGGAAGGAGGTGGTGCTCACGACCTTCCTTGGCCCAAGCTGGAGCTGGCGGCTTGGCTCGGCGATGGTGCACCCCCCACGCCGCTTAATGAGCTGGTTCCTCTTGTTGCAGTCCTTTGAATCCTGGATGCACAAGTGGCTGCTGTTTGAAATGGCCAAGAACCCCAAGCCGAAGGAGCGCAAGGCGATCCCGGCGGTGAAAGGTACTGGGGATGGGGGCTGCGGAGCTGGGGAGGGTCGGGACTGGCCCTTCGGGAGAAGCCACCTCCTGGGAGGAGCTGGCGCGGGGCTTCCCAAAGGCAACCGACCTCTGTCCCGACCGGTCAGGGACCTCTTCTCTCCCTGGGGAGCCTCTGGCTGGGGGCCTTTAAGACATTGCAGAGCCACTGCGCAGGGCAGTTGGGATGAGCAGATGCCTGCAAAGCCGGAGCACCACACCAAATCCTCTCCTTGGCCAGCCCAAGAGCTTTAGAGAGGTCACCGGGGTGGAGCTCCTTCGCCTTTGCAGTTCAGCTGAAGTGCTCCTGGATAAAGAGCTCCCGCCGGGGCTGCGGGGCGGCAGCAGGGCCCGGGGGCTCACGCTGTCTCCCCTCTGTTTTTATTGCCCTAGTGCAAACTAAGTGCCAGGCGGAGGCCAGTTCTGGGGGTGTCCGGCCGGGTCGCTTCCGCCCGCAGTGCGATGAGAACGGCGATTACCTGCCCAAGCAGTGCCATGCCGCCACGGGCTACTGCTGGTGCTGCTACAAAAATGGCACCAGGATTGAGGGCACTGCCACTCGGGAAAAGCTGGACTGCCCGGGTAGGTCGCCAGGGAGGGGCAGGAGGAGAGGAACCAGCAGCGTGCATGGAGGCCGTGCCCCGTTCTGCCCGCCATTAGGGAGGAGGAGAGCTGCCAGGGAGAGGAGGGTGCCCAAGCTGTAGAGAGCATCCCCCCCCCTCTTCGGACCCAGCATGTGAAGGCTGGAGGGGACCCTAAAGAGCACGGCCCGCCGTGGCCAGCTGCAGTGGCAGCGGAGGGAGGCAGGCGAGGTTCTCCACAAGCCCCTTGCCCCCAAGCCCGTGGCTCATTGGGTGGGCACAGGCTCCCCCCCTGCTGCTCTCAGAGGGCTGTGGGCGATGGGGCAGCCCCAGGGCTCCAGCACCCACCTCCTGCCCTCCCTCTGCAGATGCCGCTGCCGCCGCTGCCACCACCGCGGAGCCGGAGGAGATCTTCTCCGGGGTGGGCA